TGATAAACTAAGTTGAAGTGCCTAGGAGTCCTCCAACTATATCTTGATTTTGCTTTGAGATTTGTGCTACTCATGGTATCTATTTTTGAGATGTTTGTCTTCATGTGTATCACATGCTATTACGAATTTCAAAGCAAAATTAATGGATAAAAAAGTTGGTCCACAAGAGCTCCTATCCACTTAAGCTTATTCTAGCTTTAATATATGTGTGTGTGTGTGTGTGGGGAAAGAAAAGAGACAAAACTTCAGCTGGGTAAAAGACGATGATAAACTAAGTTGAAGTGCCTAGGAGTCCTCCAACTATATCTTGATTTTGCTTTGAGATTTGTGCTACTCATGGTATCTATTTTTGAGATGTTTGTCTTCATGTGTATCACATGCTATTACGAATTTCAAAGCAAAATTAATGGATAAAAAAGTTGGTCCACAAGAGCTCCTATCCACTTAAGCTTATTCTAGCTTTAATATATGTGTGTGTGTGTGTGTGGGGAAAGAAAAGAGACAAAACTTCAGCTGGGTAAAAGACGAACCTCTGTCCTTGCCATGGTTGGCTCACCAACAATAGCCTGCAATTCAGGTGAAACACTACAAACTTTACTCAGACCCCCTGGGCCACCTCTTCGTTTGACTCCAGTGGGAGCACTGCAGTGTTTAAGACAATCAACAAGAAATCAAACCAACATTTATAATGCAAGAGGTAAAATATATTGGCATAAAAGCATCAGAATTCTAAGCAGCAGGAAATATGATAAGTCAAACACGATAAAGGGTCATTCATTTACTTGGGAAAGGGAGAAAATTTTAACCGGGGAAGAAAAATTGCATAGATAGAAAATATATTTATTTTGAGAAGGAGCATGTTCCTAAACTAAAAGAAAATACTGATAATTATGAAGAGAGGCAAGCGAGGGGGTTTTTTTTGGTGGTGGTGTGTGTGTGGGGGGGGGGGGAGATGCTTGACAATGTAGTAGGGAAAGGCTATGCATAACAATTGCACAATGATTAGGCAATCAGAAAGAAGAAAAAACGAATGAAAATGGGGAGGGGTGGGGTGGGGGATGGCTGACAATGTAGCAGAGGAAAGCTATGATAACACAAATGCACATGATTAGGCCATAATCAGAAAGAAGAAAAGATGAATGAAAACATAAAAGATCACGAACGGGCAATATCTTCACAGACATAATTTGGGTGAATATTACTCCTAAGAGAATGTTGAAGGCTTCCTCCTTGGTGGGATAAACCTAAACTGCAATCAATAACTTAAGTTCTTTACCTACCAATCTCCTAGTAGGTTTTTTGAGCTTTCTTATTCATACATCCATGGAGAATACAATGCTACTTTAAAAGGTTAACATCATTTTCGTAGGTCTTATATTCTTTTCTCAGGTAGATTCATGAAGCCTTCTCACTAAAGAATTGCAATCAACCCAATCCATTTTTATAGGAAAAGGCTAAAATAATAAGATGGTTTTTTAGGCTATTCAGTTATTATTAAACATCCATGATACTTCTTTCTTCAAATATTGGATGAGTCAAGAGACTGAGTAACACGTGATGCATGCTGATCTCTGATTCGGCTAAATGTGAATAAGTTTCTTTATCCAAGTTAGAGATCACATTCATCAATTTGAAATTTACACCCCTCTAAAATTTGGTTACCACCACAAAAATGATTTAGGAAACTTAAGCACACAATGTGAACTGTTTAACCAGGAGCAATTGCAACCTCAAGATAAGTGTTCCATGGAAGTCACTACTCTGAATTCATCTTCCAATTTCTTCTGCATATCATCATTATCTGCAAAAACCTGACTTCTATCCTGAACACCTTACTTTGCACCAACATGAATTCATGTACCAAAAAATAAGTTAATCCTCCTCATCTCATTTAGACATACAGTACAGAACGAATTTCAACATATCATCATTATTTGCAACTTTTCATTTTATATTTTGATTCCATAACTTGCATTCTCGATTATTTTCAGGTCATGTGAGCAGGACAAGCAGAATCCCACATAACAAATATTTTAAAGGTGGTTCTCGGTCGTAATCGGGATTATACGATAGCATCAGTCTCCTACCCACCCACTCAATATTAGATACAGTATGTTTGTAACAAAATCACCCTCCTTCTACCAAAATCTATACGTTCAATTATACAAAAACTACAAATTATTTCAAACAACCTAAAAGGGGTAGCTCTGAAATCAAACCACAATTTCGGGGAGCAAATGGGAGGTAACTGTTCTTAATCATAACATCAGATGCACTAACATCAAAATTCATAAATAAACTACGATGAAGTGGAGAGAATTGCGAATACCTAATCACAAAAAATCAAAAACCTTTTAACTCAAACATCAAAATTCAAACTTTTGCATTTCCATGCTACACAAAACTCTAACAAAAGAAGCAAATTCCTACACATAAAAAAGTTAATTGGAAACCCTAAATATACAAAAACCCCAATAAAGAACTAACCTTTCCTTAGCCGTAGGAATCGCCGTCGGCCGAACCGCTGTCGGCAAAAGTCACCGCCTGAAAACTGGCTGCTGCTGCTGCTCTGCTGCTGCTGGAACTGCAGGCTGACGCCCCACCGCCGCTAACCTGCGCCCGGCGAGCAGGATGCCGAAACCCTAGCTCATGGTTCAGGTAGCCGAACCCGCCGTGACGAGCGGAACCAAGAGGAAAGGGGCGGTACTGGTGCAAGTGAGGGCTAGGGCTGAGGGCAAAATGGTCTTTTGGAGGGGGGCGGAGGAGGAAGAGCTGGATCTGGTCACGGATGAAGGAGGTCTTGTGGGAGAGATCGAGGCCGAGCTCGGACTCGAGATGGCTGACGACGCCGTTAACGGAGGTGACGGAGCCGAGGGCGGAGTGACGGAGGAGGGACTCAAGGCAGCGGGAGATCTCTTGGTCGGATATTACCATTTAGGGGAGCATTTAACGGCTTAGGGCTATTTTTCCTATTTTTAACGGCGCAGCAGCTGACAAAATAATATTAAAAAAAAAGAATGGCAGTTCTGAAGTGAATCCCTTGGGGGGTTATTGGTTGGGATAAATTAGCGCCAAGTGGGAAAGTTGTTCTAATGGAATAATTTTATCACTTTGAGATATTTTAATAAAGTGGGTAAAATGAGATAATGAGATAATTTAAGTATTTGATTTGACAATTCATGTGGGGTAATTGATGATGGGGCACCTTATTAAAATATAATTTTATCTATTAATTACTTCTAAATTAACTTATCCAATTGGTTTAGTATATTATCTAGTATATTATTATAATATAAATATTATTTTACTTTATATTAAAATATAATATATTATACTATACTTATAAATTACTATTATTAATTATTATATTGTATTATATTATATTATATTAGCATGCTATATTATATATAATAATTAATATAATATAATATCAATATATTTAATATAATATTTTAATAATATAATATTTAATATAATACATTATTTTATTTATACAAAAATATAATATGTTATATAATAATTACTAATTAACATTATATTAGTATGCTATATTATATAATAATTGATATAATATATGAATAATATATATAATATAATACTTTAATAATATATTATTTAATTTAATATATTATAATATAGTATCATAGGATATAATGTACTTTATAAAATATTATAATATTTTACTTTATTCAATGTAATATTTTTTTAAATTTTATATTAAAATTAAAATATAATATAACATATATATATTACATGATAATTACAATAATCTATACTACTTATAAAAGAGAATACCCATGTCAAAACTTTTGATTTCCTTTTTTACCCCCTCAATTTTTTATAAATACGTTATACTATAATTACTATTATATAATATTATTAATATATGTTATTACAATATTATATAATATTATAATAAATACGTTATACTATAGTTATTATTATATAATATTATTATTATATGTTATTAAATTATGTTATTAAAATATTATTATATGTTATATTTTATATATCATGTCATATATTTATAATATAATTGCATGTATTAGTTAAGTAATACAAAAATATTTTAAAATTATCTCAATTGCCTTCAAAGTGAAACAACATTGTTCCAATATGAAGGATGGGGTAAATTTTTACTATTGAGACAAAATTTTTATATATCAGTGGGGTAATTTTATCCCAAGTGGTGTAATTGTCTCACTAGTGTTCCAAAAAACCAATAACACAAAAAGGTATTATTCTTGTTCCATTGTCCCAATGAATAACACTATGAAATAGAATCCCCAAAATTATCCCATTATCCCCCAAAATATCCTAACCAATAACCCCCCTTTATACAATTCACCAATAGTTACAGCGTTACTTTGCGAATTATAACTCTTCTATTTATAATGCAGATCACCATATTCCTGCAGAGATGATTCTGATAAAAATACACACCCGTTCAAACCACCATAACTTAGTGGCACCCACTAATTAATTGTAATAATCCCTTTTGACCGTACGCACCTACTATCCACACGTTGTGTTATAGATAAAAACTTAACGCAACGTAGATTTCACAGCTAATCTCTAAAAAGAACAGTAGGATACTGCTACATTAGATGGGCGGCGGTGGCGAGTGGGAGGCCTCAAGCAAGTCTCAAGGGGAGTTCGATGGCGCGACGTCAGAACGAGACTCGCGACGACGCTTGAGACGGCTGGCTGATGAAGAGGTCGAGGCCCAAGAAGATACACTTGATGCTAACTAAAACACCTATGATTGTTAGGAAGTAAAGTAGGAGGATCCTTGTGACCGGTTTAAACAAGTGATTGAAATTTAAATTAAAAAATAAAAAAATTACCGCATTTAGCTTTTTGTATTGACGCTTTAAAAAGTTACCTTGTTTAACAAGTTACCTTGTTCCATTTCATAACATTAAGTCAGTTTTACATCAACGATAACCTTCAACCTTTGCTCTCCCAACATTTCTTTTCAAAGCGGGAAGGAATTTAGAGGGGTAAAAAGTGCTACTAAGCTAAACAATGGTGATTTCCTTGAGATTTACTAGCAAATTTTCACCGCTCGCAGCAAAGCAAAAGATTTAACATTAAAATCCACTTCCACTGCTGGTAAATTACCGAGAGCAAGCATGTGAAGTGAAAAACGTACATAAAAAATAAAACGGAAAAAGAAAACAGAGACAGAATCTTAATATCAGGATAATTTCCCGCCCCTCGTCGACTAAACTCAAAGAAGTACCCAAAAAGAGAAAGTTCTTCAAATCTTGATATTGAAGTAATCTGGGTCAAAATGATGCAACCTGACGTATCCATCTTCCCCACCGCTTGCAAAACTGTCACCAGAACATATAAAGAATTAGAAGAAATAATCACGGTACACTACTAATATCAAATATTCATGACATGCACACTGAAAAGTAATCAACTCCATTTATTACCACCATATGTAAAAAGTCAAAAACATAATCATATAATTAAGAACCAATCATTACATAAGGGTTTACAATACAACAATATCCAGTAGCTACTGCAACCAAAAGACTGCTAATTGTTCGACTAATACCATCTAAAACATAGTCTCAGAAAACAAAAGTGGTTCAAGAAATTCCACCATAGAGGTACTACAAATCAGTGCGAATGCAGCAGATGGCCTCAGAAAAATGTTGTGTTTGTAAGTCTAAAATGTTTAGAATAATAATCACTTGAACTTTGATACTCGTAGATTTTTAGCGTACGTAGATTACAGTACATGTAAACCTGAAATAATAAAGAAGATTGCTTATTTATGTAACATATATTATACTTCCCCGTGTATACGTGAAAAATAGAAGTCAGCTTTGAGCAGCATGCATGACAAAGCGTGATGGTTGACATAGAAAGAAATAAAGTTTAGTAGAGTCGGAGAAGAGAGAAGGATTACCGCACCAAATACAAATGACACTCAAATATGAATTGTGATATGCACATGCGTACAACAAAAGAAACAAATAGTTCACACAACCAAATAGCAGACAAAATGACCGAACAGAAAAAAAAAACTACTAAAAAAACAAAAATGAACATAAAATTTTGAAAGTAAAAAATGATAGCAATCATATTATTACCCGACCACCGAGATTATGAACTCAACATTATCAAATAGCATAGAAAAACATTATGGGCTGATTCAATGAGCCACAATACGTAAAAAAACTACAAAGTTAAGAGATAAAGAAAATTATACTCTATATATATATAACCTTTTAAGGGCAATAAAACTAAAAACAAAAATGCAGAAGCAAATTGGAAAAAAAATGGAAGCATTTCTGTGTTGAGAAGGAAAAAGAAAATAAAGAAAAAGAAATGCAATATATTCCCATTCTGTCAATGCCAGTATTGACGAGCTAAATATCCACACGCACAAGTATCAGCGCATGCAAACACACAAAAGAAAGAAAAGAAAACAATAGAAAAAGAGAGGAAAACACTCCACTTATCCCACAGCAGGTAAACGAAATCAAACAGAAGGGAAACATAAGGAAAAACACAGTAATTATAAGATGTCAAGCCATGCTCCCACAAGAAACAGGCTAGACATGTTGTCATTCACACATGGAGGAAACAAGAAGAACATACAAGTCGACTAAAAGAGAATAAATAAAATGCACAGGAACCCCTAAAAAGCCAAAGGAAAAAGATATATACAAGGGAGGAAATAGGCTATAGTAGCAGTAATAGCTCTCATACTATTTCATTGTCAACATTAAACTGAACATTCTCAGAATAGCGTATATTGTCAAATGGTGTTTACTGCAATCATGGAGCCATAATAGACAAGGGTGAAAGTAGAAACTTGCTTCTTCTTAGAAATTAAGAGAAACTAAAATAAGGATGAAAACATGCGGAAAAACAGCCAAGAGAAACCCAAAAAATTAAGTGGAAAAACATCTAGAAGAAAAGGCTAAGGTAAGAATAGCTCTAAAATTTCAGGATAGAATCGCTCATCACTACCAGGCGGCAATCATTCAGGCACACAATCTCCAAAGGCAGCAAAAGAAATCTGGAAGATAATTAAATTAAGTTTCACCTCGGCTAAATAGGCTGAAGTAGCAGTAATAGCTCTCATACTATTTCATCATCAAGTTTATACTGAACATGCTCAGAATAGCGTATATTGTCAAATGGTATTCGCTGCAATCATGAAGCCATAATACACAAGGATGCATATAGAAATTCACTTCCTCTTAGAAGGTAAGAAATAAGGACGAAAGCATGCGGAAAGACAGTCAAGAGAAAACCAAAAAATTGTGGAAAAGCATCTAGAAGAAAAAACAAAGGCTGAGGTAAGAATAACTCTATAATTTTCAGGATAGCATATATCACCCTCTGCGGGCGGAAATCATTCAGGCATACAATCCCCAAGGCAGTAAAAGAAATCTGTAAGATAATTAAATTAAGCTTCAACTTTCCTCAGAAAAAAAAGGCACATTAGAAAAGAGAATTAAAACTAGGGAGAACTATAGTAGGCAGGATACCCATGTTAACATCAAAAAACACAAAAGCAACAGAAAAACAGAAGTAGCTCTCATATTTTATTGTTTAGCATCAGCACTTAAGCTAGCTTAAGTTCTCAGAATAGCATATATCGCCAGATACTACTGGCGACAATCATTGGGCCACAATATCCATGACAGGAAAAGAAATTTGGAAGAGAGTTCAGCTTCACCGCTCCTTTAGAAAAGGAATTATTACCAAGAAACCGCTCCAACTTTGACCACTTATTAGGGAACCACCTACCTTTAAGTTCTAATTACATAACCCATTGTCAGCTTCACATGCACATCATGTGTTGCTTTAAACCTGACTTAACAGAAATATTGGCAAAGAGGTCATGTAAGAAAAAAAATGGCGGTAGCAGATTTTCATAATAAGTTGTCAAAGTTGGAAGGTTTTCATAATAACTGCCTTCTTAAAAAAATTAAAACGCAAAACTGAAATAAAGTCACATTATAGAAGAGAAACTAAAGATAGGAAAACTAAAGATAGGGAGAAAACAATAAGCAGGATTTAAGTGTAACATCAAAAACCACAAGTGAAGAGACATAGAGGTAGCTCTCATATTTTCTTGTTTAGCATCAGAACCTATGCTTAAAGTGCTCAGAATAGCGTATATTGCCAAATAACATTGGCTACAATCATCGAGCACACACACCCCATAGGAAAGTAGGAAAGAAGCATGAATCCCTATAAAACACAGGAATTTAAATAAATTAAGCAGCTCTCCAACCCCACACAAAGAAGGTAGTTAACACTAAACAGCACGTAGAAACAGACACATGCACTAGTTGACACGGCCACTAAGGCCTAGTTTTGTTGCAAGACCTAGAAAGTGGTAGATGTTAACTCCATCAAATAGTGCATGCAAATGATCACTCCGGATTAGAACAAATTTTCACTGTAGACCCAAATGAACTTTTAATTACCAAAATCGACCGATTTTTTTTAATTACCAAAATCGACCCGTTTTATGCCACGTAGGCTTAATCCCGTTTCCTAATTAGTCGGGGTTGCCAACCCCGACTGTTTAGGAGTTGTTAAACCCCAATTAGAAGCCTTAAAACCCGATTTGTAATGCCCTAAACAGTCGGGGTTGGCAACCCCGACTAATTAGAAAACAGGATTAAGCCTACATGGCATAAAACGGGTCGATTTTGGTAATTAAAAAAAAAACGGTCGATTTTGGTAATTAAAAGGTCCTTTGGGTCTACAGTGAAAATTTATTCCTCCGGATTATACTGAAACCACCCATATTGAGAGTTCTAACTCCTTGCAACACTTGGGTTTATTTTTGGCATTTATGACAAAAATGCTACCAAAATTTATTGCTACCAAAATTTATCGCGTAGAATAGTCATTTAGTTGGTCAAACCTAGCTTATTCGGATGAGCTTATAAGCTAACTTTACAAAAGTCGGAGAATCCCAGCTTTTTAAAAAGAAGTTAAAAGCTAGCTTATGGGATTTACCAAACACGTAGATACCAAAAAGTTACCTTAAAAGCTACTTTGAACAAAGAAAAAGCTCTCCTAGAGTCATCATCCCTCCGCTAAACCAACTGCAATAAGTCCAACCTCTTATTTCCTATCCAGACAATACAAATGCACCAAATCTGTAACTCCTGTTAACTTCTTCCTAAGAATCGAAATCTGGCACCAAGTCCCTAACTCTTGCTAACTTCCCCCTAAGAAATTGTAACCTATAACCTATCTCCTATCAAAATGCAGCCTTTATGTCATATCCTTAATGTCCTTTTTGTCCTTACTAGTAGCGAAATTTGTCTAACTTGTTGTAGGGCCAATTCAATTTGGATATATGCTACACAGCTAACCCCTCTTTACACAAAAGCTATCATGAATATAAATAAACAAATGAAGTTAGGAAGGAAGAGATAAGACAGGTCACCTCCTTCCATCAGGATTAAAAGCCAGAGCATTGATTGGTCCAAAGTGACCTTTGACTCCCCCAATTTCTTCTTGAAGAATCTGTAAAGAAAAGTAGAAGAATCATGAGAAAATTTACAACCCAGTTAATCAGCTTATCATGGTTAAACAAAGAGGTACAATAACAAATATAATGGAATAATACATATAGTTTAATTCCCGTGGAATGAATATTGTATATAATGCAGGTATATCTAATTCACCTTGTGAAAGAATTTTGCTTCAAACTTTCCTGCACGGTGATCAGTCATCGTAACATTCACTCTAATTCACCTTGTGAAAGAATTTTGCTTCAAACTTTCCTGCACGGTGATCAGTCATCGTAACATTCACTGCATCCTGGCCACCGCCAATCACCACCTTCAAACTTTCCTGCACGGTGATCAGTCATCGTAACATTCACTGCATCCTGGCCACCGCCAATCACCACCTGAAACCAGATACAAAACTACAACAACTATACAGGAGATGATTGCAATATGCCAAGTTATAAAACCACCAACAATCATGAGAATAAAAAGATATTATCTCTCAGAATAGTATACATAAGAATCAAGTCTGAAAACTTTTTTCTACGCAATTAACATGAACAAGACAAAAAAAAAGAAATTGCTTTTAAATAAACGTATGACACACACACACATGCACAAGATGATCGAAAATATGCACAGTACCTAACTAACAATGCATAAGTGAAGTTGCTACAATCTTTTAAATAATTCCAATGGGGAAGGATGACTGTTTTAAATGGTGCATCTTACTTGACATGATAAGAAGTACTATGGAGGTAATTCCAATTTAAAGTATGAATGAACTACTTAGAAAGGAAACGAAACTTGAACTATATTCCTTTATGAACTTCGCGTAAAGGGTTCAAAGCACAATCCATATCAACAGATTTTCTCAGTTGCAACCACATGTGCTTCGGTAGTTGGTTGTTCATGAACCTACATAGTAATAATGCAGAATATACTTCAGCTTTGCGCGGAATAGCAGGGATTCCAAAACAGAAGTAGGAAATATATACACCACCTAGGAGAGAGTTAGTTAGTCTCTTATCTAAACTCATCTTCTCCCTAAGAATTTTACCCTTAGGTTGGGCTAGTACCATCCAATAAGGGAAAAAGAAACAAGCATTTTAGAAAGTGTGTGCTTCATAAGAGTTTCCAGGAAGATTGTAAATAATTTGGTACAGTTACCTTCTGAACCATATGAAAACCCTCACATCCAACAATATATAATTCACTTGCCTTAAAAGCTATCTTAACTTGAATCCCCAAATGGATAGCACTATTCTCATCATCAAAGAAGGATAATTATGTGCCCCATATGTAAATAGCTTGACTTTTAGAATTATAAAATTCTACAGTTTCTTAATACACCTGTGTGTTAAACTTTTTAATAATTCTTTCACTTGTTTTCCCCTTTCATTTTTGTTTGTTTTTGTTTCTGCTTCTATTATATTTTCATACAAAAATAGACGCCTAAAACAACTTTTGCTATAAGCATATGCATTCAACAATACTTTCAACCACTTAAACGCATACATGATCGAGAAGCGGAGATATTGCGCAAGCATTCACTGGAGCACTTGTCACATAGGTCTTCAACAGAGTCAATGTTCTGGTGTCCCAAAGCTAACAAAATGAAATGAAGACATAAAAAATAGATTAGCCACAACTTAAAATGAAGATAAAGCATGAAATGGTAGTTGACACCATACCTTAGCAGATTTATCCAAAGAACTTGTAAGGAAATGAGACCCATCGGCAGACTTAGAAATTGAAGTGATTCTCTTCTGATGACCAGTTTCCTTATCCGACTCCTTCAAAAGGCTCCCAGTCTACACGTTTAAAAGTCCGATGAAATTAACATTGTAATTCAATCGAATAGGAAACAATATGGAAATTAACTACAACAGGGAGCTGTAGCATCTATATCAATGATGATGCAAATATTGATGATGAACCACAGGTGAGGTAAACAAGATGAAGACAACCTCCATGACAACAAATACGCACTTGTTTTGCCCATTGGAAAGGAAAGGAACGCCTTGAATATTATGCCAAATTACATACAAAAAAGTTAATAATCACATTATCTACAAAAAACACCCTAGCATCAAATAATAAATCAAATTGACTATGAACAGTCAAGTTTCTGAGAAACTATTTCCATTTTTTATCATACCTTCTGCGTGTTTTATTTCATCTGAAACAGGGCTCAAACGAGGCTTTTTGACTGTTTTTTTTCCATGTAAGCAGTAAGAACAATAAAGCAATGTGACTCAGATCTATGATGCAAAAGATAAGCCGAACAGTACATGAAGGAAATTGGTTTAAGCAGTGAAGGAAAGGGAGGTAAACGTGATTATAAATTATAATCTTTTAAAAATAACACGCATGAGAAAAAAGCAAAGAAGAAAATTTTAGAAGAAATAAACAATAAGGGAGGCTCACCTCAGTATCCCACGTACGGAGTATTCCATCTTCTCCTCCGCTTATTATAGTCTTGTTTAAAGGTCCCCAAATAGCCCCAGTGATTCTCCCTGGACCCTTGATTGTGAGCACAGATTCCCCAGTTTCTGCAAAAGATAATAATAATAATAATCACGGATATTTGAATGGACAGTGAAATTTGCACCAAAATAAAGGGAAAATTTTGTAAGATGACTATACAAGCAGCATGGGTCTATGAGTCCAATAACATAATTATCAAAGTGAACATTGGCATGTTAACTTAAGAATTTCAATGGCTTGAAGGAGACAGAAATAAAAGATCATACGTTCGCTAGGATCTCTGGCAATTTGTTTCACTTGAATAGTGGGAGGATGACCCATAAAGGGATCGGTTGTTACAATAGCAAGCTTATCCCCAACAGAGAATTGCACCGATCTAGCTGGAGAATCAAAGTTGAAAGTATAAAGCTGAGCTCCTGTTTGTACATTCCACAGCTTCGCAGTCTGATCAGCACTTCCTGTAATCAGGCGCATAGAATCACCTGAACAAATTAAAACCATTCGTTAGCAAATAGTCCACCAGTAAACAGGTTGGTGCAAAGGAAATGAAAAACAAGTAGATGCATTGTACTGTCTTTTGGCCATAAGCCAGTTAGGCCATGTTTGGATTGGGTACCATTTTAAATTAACAATCCTTTATCCTTATAATGAAATAATGGGGTGTTTGGTTCAAAATTTTAACAAAGGAGGGAGGGTATGCTATTATAGTCTTGGTACTATTTTGTAATTGGCACTAGACCCAAAAAGACCACATTACCCTTAACTTCTCTAAAAATTACCTAGAGTTTTCTCTCTTTATCATTTCTCACCCGCTTAATATCACCCCTTTTTATTTCTCTGTGTGGTTTTGGTCATCCAAACTCATCTTTAAAGCATCTCTCGATAATGCTAGGACGACTGAAACTCAACTATGCGATTGTTGGAGCTACCTTTAAGTATATTTGACTATTTCAATTATTTTCTCTTTTCCAGGCTACATATTTTAAAGCTGTGACTGGGTACCCGTTTAGATACTAATGCTTCTTTTCATGACATTTAATTTCACCTCATTATATTTCAGCATGAAACTCCATTAATGATGATTCTAGCTCAAAAGTAATGTACTTGTCTGCCCCTTTAACTTGACATCTGATAAAAGCCGGAGTCCTCGAAGTGGAGAAATATCAGGAGTTCGAGATTGCTTTGCTTGTTACATCATTAAGAAGCAATAATTCACTATTGGTAGGAAGAAGGGCATTATCACCCCTTTAGAATGACAAGTTCCCAAACATGACATATGCACTAGAGGTCTTAATAACAAACCGATCCAAACAAATTATTATAAAAATTTAACCCACTATAGTCCCTTGGATTATTATATCCCACGATTATAATGAGTTAAATCAGCCCCGGGTTAAAACAAGTCCCTAAAACAAACATAGCCTTATTATGCCTTATTTGGCCTAGCACCATTAGTATTTGAAACCAAACTTATCGTAAGCAGCGTAAATGTACAGCAGTTTATAAGAATGCACCAAATATTCAAAGAGTAGAACGAACCAACTTAGTAAACATGCTTTTACAAGTTAAAACCCAACATTCAGAAAAAGAGTAAAAAAACTACTACTACTTAAATGACTTTGATGGATATTAGCATAATCAAAGACACAATTCTTCTGCAACTAAAAAAAACTTACAGATTAGGAATAAAAATTCAAAATTTATGCTAAAATTTTTCATTTAATATAAAATGAGCAAGCAATTGCAAGGAAAACATGACTTACAGATTAGAATTAATCTTCTCCATTCAATTCATAAAAATCAGAATTAAAACTACAACTCCTCTTCATTTTTTCCTACATAAAGGTATCAGCGCTCTCTACTTTTTCTTCTCAAATCCATCAAATACCTCCAAACTAATCGAAAATTTTACATAAAAAGAAAGAAAGAGAGAGGGTATTACGAGAAACGTCGCAGCTCCAAACAGCGCCGTTGTGGCCCTTGTAAACTCCAAGGCGCTCGCCATTATCAGCGAACCAAACAGTGGGATTGTGATCCTTAGCGCAGGAGAAGAGCAGATCCCCTTCTCTGTTGTACTTAAGGAAAGTTAGAGGTCTTTCATGGCCTTTCATCAGGATCGGCCTCATCTTGAAACCTATGAAGAAAGACGAAAACCTAGATCGATCGATTAGGGTTTTTTTTTTCGGAGGAGAATCGTGCTTCTGGCGATGTCGAGGAGTGCTTCCTGGTGCGGAAAGGGAACTTAGAGTCTTATAGATGGGCCGAAAACCATAGCCCATTTGATATTTGGGCTGGGTTATTTATTATTAGATATATTGCGCTTAAATATTCTCTACAGTTTCACCAATACGTAAGTGGTCCTTATTTTAATGCCGAGTAAATAAATGCTCCGAAGTTTATTGCAGATAAATAATCTAAAGTTAAAAATAACCCATAAGTGCTAATTTTATCTGAACTAGATTTTATGCACGTGCAATGCACGTGGTTAAATACTATGATTAGGTTTTTTAATTTATTTTCTTATTAAAACTTATTCATCAGTTACTCTTTGATAATATTTTTTGCTCACTTTGATTAAGTATTTTTGGTTTATTTTCTACTAAAATTTGTTCCTCGATTACACTTTGATTATTTATTTATTTGATAGTTTTTTGAATAGGCTACATCCAGTTTAAATTTTTATGTTGATAGTTATTGTCAGGAGAAAAATATAATCTAAAGCCAATTTAAATTTTCATTTCATTTGGATCGGCATGAAACCGAGCTTGACCTAAGGAAGTATAGTGTTATGAAAGTGAAAACACTTGAAAAAATTACATTATAAAAGGAAGATGAATAATAAAGCCAACGAGCCAAGATGATTGATTTAAAGTGGGCTAAAATGATAAAAAATGGTTAATAAAAAAATCATAAAGTGAAGATTAATGCTAACTCTAGTACACTTTTATATGATAAAAATATCCACATATGCATATGAAAACACTAAAATAGTTTATGAAAATCCCTTCTAAAGATTTTTATTTTTACTAAAAAATGAAATTATTCTATAACAATTCACAAAACATTATCTTTTGTTACTTCTACTTTATTTTTTATTGAGTCGAGATCAATCCTTCTTCATATTTACCTTTTTCCTAGCCAATTCTAGAGTAGTAGAGTCTTCATCATCTACATCGATTTTGATATGAGACTGGAGCATGTTATCTTTCCTTGGGCTCATTCATCTTTTGACTTCTCGTCTAAATTCACAAAGAAGTTGAATATATTTCTTATATTCAACACAAACTTTTGACAATACGGACTTTGATTTTTTCCTATTTTAATAAGAATAAATATTAATTTCATATATATGAAATTTTTTTATGCTTTTAATTTATTACTTAAATAAGGTTAGGAGGTACCTCTTTTTTCACTGCAATGAATTCTTCTGTTGTGCATCCAATAAGAATTTCTGTTGGGTCATAATGTTACATTTGTTTTATCTGTGTCATTTTCCATGAGGATTTGAACTCAAAACATTAAAATTTTCATTGTCAATTTGTTTTAGATTATAATATTAATATTTAATTTTGATATATTTATTTCATGAAGAAGGGATATCACTTAACCTTGGTACTAAATCATTGGCGATTCTACAACATTTATCATATGGACACTTATTATTAACATCTTTATCCGCTTTCTTATTGCAGTCTTTGCAAACACAGAATCACTGCTCAACTCTATTATAAATGGTAGTTATCGTTTCCTTAAAGGTGCGATAGTGTGTATGTATATTGGTATATTATTCTTAGGTTTAATTGTATGAATTTTAGAGTAGATTTTTTAAGATCATACCTCTTTCAAATGTTATAATGGTTGTATATATTAGTAATTTGAATTTCTGTTGCATTTATAAAGAGCCTTAATAAAGATGCTTTTGTCTTGGCAGCTTACTCTAAAAGAGCGCTGCATATTAGCTTTAACATGTAATATTTTTTCTTTACGTTGTTATATGGATGTTTGCTTGGTTTACTTACTATTCTCTTATTTATTCAGTAAGTTGTATCTTTGGATTGATATATATTATTGACGCAATTTACGATGACATGCATATCTCCTCTATAATTTTGAGTCAGATATAAGGTGAATTTTATATTTAGTGGCCTTTAATAAGAATTTTACTAATGAAATATGTTACGCGCAGCGGAAATTTCGACAGCACTTCGGCAGCACAACAAGAGAGTCAGGTCGCGATAGGAATTCTCGTTTCACAAAGGAAACAAGAACCTTAAGCAAAATATCTCAATCAAGTGAGATATCAACTCTTCCTCTCATCAGTTCTAGGACTGACCTGTCGAGAAAACCTAAAAGCTATTACAAATCATACAAATAGCGATACAACCAATTTTACGTGGTTCAGCAAATTACCTACGTCCACGGGGCAAGGAGGGGGGAGATCTACTATTAGAGGGAGAGATTACAACTAGGGTTTATAATCACTCACAGCCTAAACCCTCAAACAAACACTCAAAAACCTCGCAATATCTCTCTACAAAAGGACAGCCGCCAATAACCGACGAAAAGTCTCTGCGCTTTTTCTCTTTCTCAGCCGAAAAATCACCTTCGGTTTTTGCCTTCTGCTTTGTACGCCGCCTAAGACAGAATTGCCTTCTGCTTTGTACGTCGCCTCAATTGCACACCCTTGTTCTTGCTCTGCAGCCGCAAAAAAATCAAATCCTTGCTGACGCCCAATCCTTGCACAAAAAACCTAGAACTTGATGAGGCGCTGGTATTTATACGCTTGCAAAACCCACGCGGTTCGTGAGGGATTCGTGGGCCTGCAAAACGCGTGTTCGTAGGCCTGCAAAACTCACGCGTCTTCAAATGCGTCTTCACGTGCACGTGGGAGTGGCCACAAGTTCACAATTCTCCACATCGGTGAAGTTTTTTCAAAACTGAACCAACACCAAAGCATCCAAATGTTCCAACTTGTTGTGTCCAATACGAACTCAATCCACAACAAGTCGAGAACGAGAATCCAAACAATCTCACCCCCATCAACTAATCCAAAACCGGCTGCATCATAAAGACTGCCTATGTATCCTCTTACCCAAGGAATCAAGCCTCTCGTAGTTCATCCAAATGGCCGCCAACGGCCTCAACAATCATAAATATGCAACAAGCTTCTACAATGATCAAACTTGTTGCTCGGAACCACCTTAGTGAGCATATCCGCCGGATTATCCTTCGTGTGGACTTTCACAATCTCCACATCGCCATCTTCAAGAACATCTCGAACGAAGTGATAACAAACATCAATATGCTTCGTCCTCGCATGAAAAACCTGATTCTTCACCAAATAGATAGCACTCATGATATCATAATGAATGGTGACGGACCTCTGCGATATACCAAGTTCTTCCAAAAGTCCTCGAAGCCAAATAGCCTCCTTCATAGCCTCCGTAACTGTCATATACTCTGCCTGCGTCGTAGACAAAGCCACCATAGACTATAAGGTGCATCTCTAACACACCGACGTACGGGTCAAAGTAAACACATACCCCGTAGTAGACCGACACTTATCCAAATCCCCGGCATAATTTGAATCAATATAACCAATGCATAGCTGCCCACCTGTAGTGTCCCACTCATAAACTAAACCAACATTGAGCGTACCTCGATAGTGTCCCACTCATAAACTAAACCAACATTGAGCGTACCTCGAATGTACCTCAAAATCCATCTCACGGCGTCCCAATGTGAGCGTACCTCGAATGTACCTCAAAATCCATCTCACGGCGTCCCAATGACCTACTCCTGGATCGTGCATATATCTCGAAACCATGTTCATCGCCTGTGACAAATCCGGTCTCGTACATACCATTGCATACATCAAGCTTCCAACCGCACTCGCATATGGAGTCTTCGACATCAACTCTTTATCTTCAACTGACTTTGGTGAAAGGTCAGCTGAAAGCTTCAAATGGGCTCCCAATGATACACTAACTGGATTTGTATCCATGCTAACATGAAAATCGCTGTAGTACCTTCTTCAAATAAGCCACCTGTGTCAAACAAATTATGTCCTTCTTCTTATCTCTGTCGATCTCCATTCCCAAAATGCGTTTGGCCTCACCCAAGTCCTTCATCTCAAACTCATTTGAAAGCTGAACTTTTAACTCATCTATAGCTGACCTGGAGGTAGAGGCAACCAACATGTCATCGACATAAAGTAACAAATAGATGTACGCACCTCCTTTAAACTTGCGAAAATATACGCAAGGATCAAACTGGCTCAGAGTGTACGAATGACCAATCATAAAACCATCGAATCGCCTATACCACTGTCGAGGAGACTGTTTCAAACCGTATAGCGATTTCTTCAATCTGCAAACCAACTTATCTTTCCCGGCTCGGAATCCCAATGGCCGAGTCATATATATATTTCTTCATCAAGATCACTATGAAGAAATGTCGTCTTCACATCCAACTGATCTAACTCCAAACCATACCGTGCTACCAAAACTAGCAAAATCCGAATCGAAGAGTGCTTCACCACCGGAGAGAAAACCTCATTATAATCTATTCCTTCCTCCTGTGCATAGCCCTTTGCAACCAACCTAGCTTTGAACCTCAATGGAGTGCCCTCAATGCCCAACCTAGCTTTGAACCTCAATGGAGTGCCCTCAATGCCCTCCTTCTTCGTGTATACCCACTTGCAACCAACCTTCCGCCTCTTTGGAAGCTGAACAAGCTTCTATGTATCATTCTTGTGAAGAGACTCTATCTCCTCCTGCATAGCTACTTGCCACGAATCAGCCTCCGAACTCTGCTCGGCCTATCTGAATGTAGTAGGCACTAACTCATTGATACTCTCCACCGGAAGTGCATACGCAACTGTGTCGGCATACCGTGCTGGCATCTGTATGTTTCTCCTCTGTCTACAAACCGCAATCGAATCCTGAACCTGAGCTGTCGATCCCTGATCCTGCATAATTGTACTCGTATCCTCCTCGTCGTTGCCGTGCTCACCTGGCGTCACCTCAGTCGGCACTCTAATGGATACTGTACCATCTGGTCAATGTGGAGCTGCATCGATCTCCACCACCTGTGATATCTCCTCTGTCGGGGTGCTCTCCACCTGATGAGAGCTGGGAAGCTTCAAGATAGAAGCCTCATCGAATGTGACGTCCCTACTCAGCATAATTTTCTTATCCACTGGATCCCAAAATCTTGTATCCCTT